CCAATAACACCAACACACACCAATAACACCAACACACACTAATAACATCAACACACACTAATAACACCAACACACACCAATAACACCAATAACAATAACACCAACACACACCAACACAGACCAATAACACCAACACACACCAATAACACCAACACACACCAATAACACCAACACAGACCAATAACACCAACACACACTAACAACACCAACACACACTAATAACACCAACACACACCAACACACACCAATAACACCAACACACACCAATAACACCAACACACACCAATAACACCAACACACACCACCTCTAAAACAACACCCACTGCATGAACACACAACCTGAACTAACAACACCACCACACTCATCACCTCCAAGACTGACTCAACCAATACTGCTTATAGTAACAAATACTTCAATACATTTTGACTTTACTTTGACTGGACTGAAGTATTTTCATTACGTGGTACTTCACTGTACTACATTCCATTCATTAGTAGTTTGTACTCTTCTATATTTACCTGACAGACAATAATAACTAATAATAAGAATGTACTTTAACCGTTAAACTGATCAGAATACTTCTTCCACCACAGTGACTGACATGTGATAACAGGTAACTATATACCAGTACTACTACTAGTATACATAATACTACCTACTCTACCTCTAATCAACATAATATTCATATTATTCATATATAATAATTATGAATAGTCAAATGTGTGTGTGCTGCGGGATGGGGGGGACATTCAGTCAGACGTGTCTTCAGATCGGCTGCAGCAGGACCGGAGGAGGACTAGAGGACCAGAGGACTAGAGGAGGACTAGAGGACTAGAGGAGGATTAGAGGACTAGAGGACCAGAGGAGGACTAGAGGAGGATTCGAGGACTAGAGGAGGACCAGAGGAGGACTAGAGGACCAAAGGAGTAGAGGAGGACCAGAGGAGGACTAGATGACCAGAGGACTAGAGGAGGACTAGAGGACTAAAGGAGGACCAGAGGAGGACTAGATGACCAGAGGACTAGAGGAGGACCGGAGGACTAGATGACCAGAGGACTAGAGGAGGACTAGAGGAGGACCGGAGGACTAGAGGAGGACTCTGTCTGTCTCTCTCTCTCTGTGTCTCTCTCTCTCTCTCTCTCTGTCTGGAAGTTGCTGAGAACTTTTGGAGCGCGTCGCGCGGTTCCTCCCCCGGTCTGCTGCGCGCGCTCAGCTCAGACTTGGATATCTTCCCTCAGACGCTCCGAGGGAAACCCCGGGGCGCATTCGTGTTTCTTCTGGAGGATTAATACCTGAGATTATTATTATTATTATTATTATTAATAGTATTGAGACCCGCACACATGGATAGCTCGTGCTACTTGTGGGCCGTGTTTCTGCTCGTTCTCTCTCTGGGCTTCAGGGTCGAGGAGGGCATGTGCCAACACTACTATCTCCTCCGGCCCATTCCCAGTGACACTATGCCCATAGTGGACCTAAAGGAGGACCCGGATCCGGTGCTGGACCCGAGGGAGAAGGACCTGAACGAGACGGAGCTCAGGAGCACTCTGGGCAGCCACTTCGACCCGCAGTCCATGTCCCTGTCCCCGCGGGAGGACAAGTACGCGGGGAACGAGGACGCGAGCGAGGCGGACCCGCGGCAGAAGCTCTCCGGAGCGATGCCCAAAGACATCCGGGCCATGGAGTTCGAGGTCCAGCACGGCAAGAAGCAGAAGCCGAGTAAAAAACTGCGGAGAAGGCTGCAACTGTGGCTGTGGTCGTACACCGGCTGCCCGGTTGTTTACGCATGGAACGACCTGGGCAGCAGATTCTGGCCGCGCTACCTGAAGGTGGGGAGCTGCTACAATAAGCGGTCTTGTTCGATCCCTGAAGGGATGTTCTGCAAAGCTGCCAAATCCGCGCATTTTACGATCCTGCGATGGCGCTGCCTGCAGAAGAAGGGGGGTCTGAAGTGCGCCTGGATACCTGTTCAGTATCCGGTCATATCCGAGTGCAAATGCTCGTGTCACAACTAAAAGAAAACTTTTATGATTATGTTCATACAGCGACACAAACTGATGTTCACGAGCCTTTAATAAACTCTGATGAGTCATGAGAACTGGTTTCCTGCAGCGAAGTGAGGACATGTCTCTTTCGTTCAGATTGTCTATCAAACTAAAGCTCGTTCAGCTGTTTGTATATGTGATGCACATGTTTCTATTGATGACGTAACTTTATATAAAGAGGAAGGGCAGTATTATTAATATAATCACATCTACTGTATTTGTTCATCGTGATTGAATCTGTTTATATTTATACTGAAGGATGTTTAAATATCATAAGTCATGTTTACTGTTTGAATCAGAACTCTTGAGGAAAACTTCTCATCTTCAGATGTCAAATAAAGAGAGTTCTAAAAACATGTGAGTGAAACTGATTTATTTATGTACTCACATCCTAAAAGTACTAATACCACACAATAAACAACTAACAATATTACTAATACATAAGAGCTATTAACATTATTAGTAAAACATCATTACTAATACATAAACATTAAACATATTAGTAATACATTAACATTATTAACACTAATACTTATACACAGTGCTGTATAAAGTACTCAAAAGCCATACTTGAGTAAAAGTAAAGATGCCTTACTGGAAAACTACTCCAGTAAAAGTCACCTATTAGAATACTACTTGAGTAAAAGTCTTAAAGTATCTGATATTTATTGTACTTAATTATCAAAAGTAATTTTCTGATATTAAATGTACTTAAGTATTGAAAGTAAAAGTACAAGTAAATGCTGTTAATAAAAAAGCAAAGGGTCAGCATTATGAAGTTTATTCTTTTAAGTGCTGTGGCACCATGACCAAGGACATGGAGCTGTGTTGAACATAATTGGGTTGGCTGTGATCCATCCAGGAGCAACAATGTTCAACATAATATATTGTACATAAGTATACTTTTGCATCTACTATGAACTTATCATCAGAATTCTCCGAAAAGCAATATGACACTATGAAGGAGTTGTAACAGTGCGTTTATAAGTATGCTCATTCTGACTAGAGGATGTAGAGGGCAAAGGCATCATATTGTGTTCAGCAACAAATATCCACTTGATGCATCAGGTCAGTGTTGTGAGAAAGGACACCTGCCTTGTAAACTCCTATGGGCCTGATTTGAACACAACAGGCAAAGGTTTTGCTCAAGCTGAATCTGCAATTGGGCGACTGCTACCATCATAACTCCATCTGATCATCCACAAAATGACTCAAATATCAAAACGTGATCAATGCTAAAGCAGAAAAATGTCCTGTTCATCTTCAAAAGAAGTTGGTTTTCAAAATTGCGAGAATTCCGTCTCGCTCTTCTTGGGCTGAAGACTAGTCCTGATGCTAAACAGCCTTTCACAGGCCGCTGAGGCAGGTAGATGTGTGTTCAGCTTCACACACAGCTTGCGCACAGCTGGGAAGGATTTCCCTAATGCTAACACTAATGCTAACACTAATGCTAACACTAATACTAACCCTAATGCTGCGCTCTCGCGGCTCCTGTCAATCCTACGGTGTGGTGGCTAGCTAACGTTAAGTTAGCTAACGTTAGCCAACTAGTGCTGCAATGATTATAGCTAAGATGACTCAAATCAACACAATCTCACAACTGTCAACACTTCCTCAGCTCACTAACTCACTAGCGATCCTCGGGTGTTGGTCTTCGTCACCACCGTAGTTTGTTGAGGGAGCAGCAGGTGCTTCCATTTCTGCTTCCGTCATGAAATCAGTCATCGTAGAGTGGAATTCTGCTCATGTAGTCTCGCTAGCTATAGCATATAGCATCCTGGGCATCACTGGGAATCTAAACACCGCGGCTTTGAGAGCACTTGTTTGCAATTGCGCATTAACGTGATTAACCAATGATTTAACTTGCAAGCTAGGACCACTGATTCACCAAACCTGCTTGTTGCAGTCTCTGTTCCACCACAGTCCCCGACGCTGGTCTCATGATTCATGTTGTTTCTAAAGATAGATTTGATTTTGTAGCGAGTAACGAAGGTTTCAGGGGAAATGTATCAGAGTCAAAGTATCAGTTTTCTTTGCAAAATGTAGTGAAGTAAAAGTCAAAGTCAACAGAAATATAAGTAGTAAAGTCAAGTACAGATATCCAAAAAAACTACTTAAGTACAGTAACGAAGTAGAAATACTTCGTTACTGCTTATACATTAACATTATTAACATTAATACTTATACATTAACATTAT